CTGTCGACAAAAAATCACACAGATACAGGTCTGAAGCCCAATGAAAAAAACCCGATACGAGTAAAACTAACTAACAAAAGCGTTCAATACAACCGTAGAGCAGACCTAGATACACCTAGTGCAATGGGTAAATTGTCGTCATTTTATAGTTTTAATTTTTCGAATGCATGTTTTTGTTTTTGTTTTTTTCTTGTTGTTTTTTTCATTTCGTTGACGGCAAAGTATAGTAGGTTCCGTTGGGCACCGTCTGCGAGAAAAAAGAACACCATGATGCAATTCATTACGCCAGAAATTTGGAAACGGTATGCTGTAATGTTTGGCATTCACGCTGGAATCTCAAATGCGAACATTTCAGAGGGTTTCGCCGAGTTCTATAGTCTAGAAGGAAACTCTGAATTCAAACCGGTCTGGAGAGGGTTGAGCTCCTTCGGGCTATGTTGCCCAAGATACACCATGTGGTATCCCTAGGAGATACGCGATCGATAAGAGCAAATACGGGTCTCTTGTGAATATCTATACAATAGATAGCAGGACAGACTGGGTTCTATAGCTTTGGATGGCAATGACTTCTCCTCCTAGCTCTAAAAGCTCAGTGGGCGAAAAGCAGGCTGGTGTTCTCTCAAATTTTATGGGAAAAATGACCAGTTCTGTGTCACTCCAGTAAGTACCGGACTCCTCTTGGCATGCTCAATCTTTACAAGAGCCAAATCAGAGCAAAAATGGATGCCATTATCTAGGATAGAGCTCCCCAGTCTTCTTTTCCAGTCTTGACAGAATCCAAACACATCTACGCGGCCTTGTGTGGGATGAAGAGTTTTCCATCTGACATAACCCTAAGCCTAACCCTTTCTCACAGAAGAAATGACCGGTCGCTATTTCTATGGAAAATATTCAAATGAGCTACATTCCTTATTTCCCTAACAACTAACCCTCCCAGCTAAGACCCAGCACTCCGCGTATATTTAGGCGAACCACCCTCATTCCCTTCCTATTCAGTTGGTAACGAGCAAGTTGCGCTGCCCTCAGTAAAGCTCTGTCTTGAGTGGCTCTTGGACGCAGATATAATGGATATTATTGACTGACTGATTCATTTTCTACAGTTTATCAACACTTTACAAGTTATTTAAAACAAGAAAATATGGCAGCGTGAGCTGAACAATCACCTCAACGTTGAAGCAGCAAATATGTGGTTCTACAGTAGGGTGCTGTGGATACCATGAACCAAACATGTGAGCAACGACGAAGTTTTAGAGAAAATGGGAAAAAGGAAACATACTTAACATCAGGAAGAGACAATTAAAATTTCTAAAGCAAATAATGAGGAAAGAGGGCTTGGAAAACCTGACACTCACAGAACATATTGAAGTCAAGAGGGACAGAGGTAAAAATGCATGACATACTTAAATCAATTTGTTCTTCAAATATTTAAATGCAATGTCAATCGTTATCTTGTTTTCTCAATTCCTCTTCTTTTATTCTCTCTTAATGTTTTTCTTTTTCTCATATTCTTTTACACTCAGTAAGCCCTCGCGTCTTAGTGGCTTTATTGCCTTGCTTGGAGAGAAACGATTAAAATTTAGATGCAATGTCAATCGTTATCTTCTATCTTCTTAATTCCTCTTCTTTTATTGTTCTCTCCCCTTAATAATGTTTTTCTTTTTCTCATATTCTTTCACACTCAGTAACCCCTTGCGTCTTAGTGGCTTTATTGCCTTGCTTGGAGAGAAATGATTAAAATTTAAATGCAATGTCAATTGTTATGTTCTTAATTTCCCTTTTTTTATTGTTCTCTTTTCTTTAAATTTTTTTCTTTTTCTTACAAACTAAAATGTCTATTCTTGTAGTGATGTGTGTTTGTGTGAATGCCTTCATTGTTGAGTGAGGGGTTTTTTTTTGTGATTTAAATGGAATTGTCCCAAGGCTACCTGTAGCAGTTTTAGTAGTGGGTAGGTGATTGATATGATCCATTGGTGTCATTTCAGTTTTGAAGAAAATAGAAATAAAAAGGAAACTAATACTTCACATCAGGAAGAGATAGTTGAGGTTTCTGGGGTACGTAATGAGGAAGGAGGGCTTGGAAAATCTGATACTCACAGGACAGAGCTCAAGGGAAACAGAGGAAGACAACGCATAACACAATTAATGAGCTTGAGTAAATGGATGACAGAACAGGGCGGCTTAAGAGAAATAACAGAAAGACAAAATTTATTAAGAGCTACAAGGAAAGAACAGGAAGTTGTGGAGAGCCATGACAGCCTACACGAATACATAAAGGATAAAGCCCATCAGAACTAATGCCATGATAATATTTTGTACAAATGATAGGGCAGCCACGTCACGTGATAACCATTTTAATAGTGACCCATGATCAGAAGAAACTATCTAGCCTATTATAGGGAGAACATTAGTATAAAAAAGTTATTAAGATTTTCCGTTATTCCTGCGTGAATAATTTTAGATCCGTATCTGTCTATATTTCTGAGATGAGGTATTATGTACACTATTTACATTATTCGGACTATTGTCCTCATCTTTGTCGCCATATTTATTACAAAGTTTCGGCCCTTCATTATCTGTTTATATTTCTGAGATGAGGTATTGTGTACACTATTTACATTATTCGGACTATTGTCTTCATCTTTGTCGCCATATTTATTACAACGTTTCGGCCCTTCAGTATCTATCTATATTTCTGAGATGAGGTATTATGTACACTATTTACATTATTCGGACTATTGTCCTCATCTTTGTCGCCATATTTATTACAACGTTTCGGCCCTTCAGTATGTGTCTATATTTCTGAGATGAGTTATTATGTACACTATTTACATTATTCGGACTATTGTCCTCATATTTGTTGCCATATTTATTACAACGTTTCGGCCCTTCAGTATGTGTCTATATTTCTGAGATGAGATATTACGTACACTATTTACATTATTCGGACTATTGTCCTATCTTTGTTGCCATATTCATTACAACGTTTTGGCTTTTCACTATCTGTCTATATTTCTGAGATGAGGTATTATGTACACTATTTACATTATTCGGACTACTGTCCTCATTTTTGTCGCCATATTTATCACAACGTTTCGGCTATTGTACGCTCCGGCCTTCTTCAGGTGGTTGGAATGTAGAACTGAACCCTTTATTTCGCTCACTGGAGTAGATTGTTCTAGTTCCACGTGCCATGTTTAACGGATGTTAGTTAATTCTCATCTCCAAGTACTCCACCGCGTTAACCAGGTATTGAACTCACACTCTTTGTCTCCTGTCACTGGATCTAATATTTATCCATTGTACCATGTTTCCTTGAGGACATTTGTGTTTGAATTTCTGTGAATTATAAACCTAATGTCTCAGCAACCTTTTTTTAACCAGTACTCATATTGCAATATTTTGCTGTTATCATTCCATGTTTTTACAGAACTCATCTTGCAGTTTTTGTTGTTGTTATCGCTTTTCTCTGGCACTCCTAATTACTGGTTCCCTTATTGTATTCATTTCTATGCTTGGTCGACTCAGGAGATTTTTGTGGCCTTTTTGTAATCCAGCCTTCATAAATATGAAATTTTTAGGTTTTTTTTTTTTTTTTTTTTTTTTTCCAATTTAATTATTGTAACGTGTGATAAGAATAGTAGCCTAAATTTTTCAAACAAAAGCTAACTTTTTAATTTATTTAGGGATTCTGTCAATTAACATTAGCTGAATCGAGGTTATATCGTTCGGGGTCTTTCTTCGAACGTTAAATCTTCTTCGTGCAAGCATATAGAAGATGCTCCTTCATATTGGTGCACCCATTGTCATCTTATGCGCTCCGATTCTGCACTTGGTGGCGTTGAGGTATCCTTTTTGGTTAAACCTTGAGATACCTAGGTCACTTAATTCCTCAACGTGACACTGAGTACATTTACTTTGTATCTTTTATGGGGAAGAGCGCATAAATATTGAGATCATCACAGATCAAAAGTCTTTTTAGATTAAAGGGTCCTGATATTTCTTGGTATAAATTGAAAACAACATATTTATTATGTTCATTTCTCCCCCCCCCTCTCCTCTCTCTCTCTGTGGGTTTATATTCGTCTGTTCGAATGTATCTAACTACCTATCTCTCTGTCTATTTCTATCTATCTATCTATCTATCTATCTATCTATCTCTCTATCTATCTCAGTCTCTTCCTATCTAGCTGGTTATGTATCTCAATCTGTTCATATCTATCTATCTATCTATCTATCTATATATATATATATATATATATATATATATATATATATATAAGTTAGATAGATAGATAGATAGATAGATAGATAGATATGAAGAGACTGATATATATATATATGTGTGTGTGTGTGTGTGTGTGTGTGTGTGTGTGTGTGTGTGTGTGTGTGTGTGTGTGTGTGTGTGCATGGTTGCATGGCTTGTTGATAGATAGATAGATAGATAGATAGATAGATAGATAGATAGATAATGAACAGATTGGGATAGATATATAGAAAGAAAGAAAGAAAGAAAGAAAGAAAGAAAGAAAAAAGAAAGAAAGAAAGAAAGAAAGACTAAGACAAAAGAGACGATAGATTAGTAGGTAGGTAGGTAGCAAGCTATGAACAGAATCTGATAGACATTGACAGACAGACAGACAGAGAGAAAGAGATAAAGAAAGCATGAAACTAACGTGCGGACAGATTTTCGATAAGTGGAACATTTTTGTGCTTGGTTCGAAAATATTTTCTCAAACCTTTGCCTATGCACGCCTGTTTTCTGTGACTCAGCTGAAAATATCGCTGCCTTCCCTCTAAGCAACCCCCCTCTTTTGGAACACTCCTCTCTATCTCTCACCATTATTAATAACAATAATAATAATAATAATAATACGGAATAATGGCAAAAATGGCCGTGGTGAGATCAAGCCTTGGCATGTGTTTGTATGTGGGGGAGGGGGGCGCTCGCGTATCCACTAAAAGTTTCTAAAACACTCAACACTCGTAGGAGACCGAAAGCCATGAAAGCAGCTGATATTTCATGTTGCTATTTCAAGCATCTCTCTTTCTCTTTCTCTCTTTCTCTCTCTCTCTCTCTCTTTCTCTTTCTCTTTCTCTCTCTTTCTCTTTCTCTCTCTTTCTCTTTCTCTTTCTCTCTCTTTCTCTCTTTCTCTCTCTCTTTCTCTTTCTCTCTCTTTCTCTTTCTCTTTCTCTCTCTTTCTCTTTCTCTCTCTTTCTCTCTCTCTCTCTTTCTCTTTCTCTCACTTTCTCTTTCTCTCACTTTCTCTTTCTCTCACTTTCTCTCTCTTTCTCTTTCTCTCTTCTCTTTCTTTTTTTCTTTCTTTCTTGTTTTCTATCTTTCTCTCTCTTTCTCCATCTCTTTCCTTATCTCTTTCACTTTCTTTCTTTCTCTTTCTCTCTCTCTCTCTCTGTTTTTCTCACTCTCTTTCACCCTCTCCGTCTCTATCTCTTTCACTCTCTTTCTTTCCCTTTTATCTCTTCCTCTTTCTCTTTCTTTCTCTCTTTCTCTCTGTCTTTCTCTCTCTGTGTACACACACACAGACACATATATATATATATATCAAATATGTGGTGCAGTTCAGTTTATATTACAATGAATCATTCATACAAAAAGTAAATTAGTAAAGTTAATGATATAAAATGGCAAAATCCCTTCGCTAACAAAATTTTAAAGGTGCATTAACCTACCAATCACTCAATGAATGTTATGACCCTTGTTTTTATAAATTATAAGCTGGATAAGATCTTTCTTTAATATGCAAGTACTTTCGACTGTGCATTCAGTCATTTTCAGGCATGGAAATTATTTTGTTTTTGGTAAAATTCAGGTAGCATCCAAGACGAAAACTTTATTGAACAATTTAGTTCATGCCACATTGACTGATAAACTCCTAGAACAAAAAAATTCTCAAATTGCCATATTAGTAAAAAACGCATTCTCTTATTTTTTCAAAAAATTCAACCTTAGCGTTGCGACTGGACGCTCCAATAATTTGTATCCGTTATCAATAACACATTTAAAAAAATCATATTTCAATTCGTATTTAATTTTTCCGTGTGTGTGTGTGTGTGGCTAAAGATGACTGACAAGGTAATATGATTAAGCTTTTTATTTGATGTTTCTTGCCTTCGTCTAAGTGATTTCTTTTCTGGACACAAAGTGTGTAAAAAAATGTCGAAAAGTCCTGCATATCCGTGCGCTTTCGGCTATTCGTTTAGTAATTATCGAGGGTGATTTTTATTGTTTTATTTTTAACTAAATATGTTTTTTTATGTATATGTTTAAAGTTATAGGAATGTTTTATTTTCCGAATACAGTTAGCACACTGTGGCCTTGTTCGTAGCTAATTTTATTGAGTGTTAGCTTTTCCTTTTTTTATTGTTAAGGTTTCCATTATTTTTAATCTTTCTTTTATAATGTGGATGAATTAAAAATAAAATATAAAAATCACCCTTGATAATGAATAAAACACTAGCCGAAAGTGCCCGGATATGTAGAACTTTTGGACAGTTTTTACACACTTTTTGTCCAGAAAAGAAAACACTTGTACGACCACAAGCAAAATTAAATAAATCACCGTTCCTTGTCAGTCGACTTTAACGAAAATAAAAGAGAGATTGCCGCTTAAATACACAATATATATATATATATATATATATATATATATATATATATATATATATATATATATTTTTACATTATTCGGACTATTGTCCTCATCTTTGGTCTCATATTTATCACACGATATTGTACGCTCTGGTTGAAATGTCGAACTCTTTATTTTACTCGCTGAGGTATACTGTTCTAGTTCCACGTGCCATGTCTAATGGATATCGCTGTTATCTCCTGTTAATTCCACACTCTACTGCCTTACTCGGGTATTAAGCTCACACTCTTCGGGTCCTGTCACTGGATCTAATAAACGCCTTTATCCACTGTGCCATATGTTCTTGATGACATCTGTGTATGAATTTCTGGGACTTATAAACCTAATGTCTTCAGCAACCACTTTTTACCAGTGCTCATATTGTAGATGAGGACGATAGTCCGAACAATCTAAATAGTGTACATAATATCTCATCTCAGAATTATATATATATATATGTGTGTGTGTGTGTGTGTGTGTGTGTGTTGTGACCAAGTAAATGGTTAAAGAAATAACCAAACAAGTGCTGCAGATATATCATATATTAAACAGTAAGTACAACAGAAGAGTATTACACGACTAGTGAGTATGTGTCTGTTGACAAAGCGTTCATTCTATTCGACTGTTCTCCAACATAGACTCTTTAGAAGGAGGACACCCTGTAATATAAATATATATATATATATATATATATATATATATATATATATATATATATATATATATATATATATATATATATATATATATATATATATATATATATATGTTAATAAAGTTAACACATTGACGTTAGTTGAAATAGTTCATATTCATGAGGTAATTTGGGGATTTCTCTGTTATATCATTTACATGCTCTTTTTATAATAAATACATTGAGCTCTTTTTGTGGATCAGTTTTAATATTTTATATTATTAGGATCCGCTTGCATTATATTACCAAATGATTTATTACCTATACTACATATATATATATATATATATATATATATATATATATATTAAAGAAGAGAATTAACTTTTAATGGAATCAACGGACAAATGGCCAAAATCAAAAACACTTATCCAGATAAGTCTTGAATAACCGACAATATTGAAAAAAGAAAAAGAAAAAAGTCGTAAAGGCAAACTTACCTACTCAGTAAAGTACTCGAAGCCTTGATTGCCTAGACAGAGCAAAAAACGATTAATAACGTTAAATCCCATGAAAGAATGGTCCAAGTCGTAACTCGAGTTTCACGCTCACGTTTTATATGTATCTGATATATTGATATATTATCGTCAGATCACTCTATGAGTTCTTCAGTTCCCATGTAATTCAGTATTACCAGTGGCCTGTTCAGATAATTGTCAACTAAAACGGTTCCCCTCATAGGCTGTTCTAGTGATGAGAGTGATTAAATGGACAACAGAATTAAAAACAGCCACTGTAATAGGGGAGCTGAATTCTCTCATATGATCCGTGCCCATTTAGCAAACGTGTTATGGGTGTAGAAATACTCGGGTGGTGTCCAGATGCGCGGTAAACCCACTGGGAGGACTGGATCTCTTAGCCTTCGTTTAGATAACACACTGCAACGAAACCACTAACGAAACAGCTCAGCATTACACGAATCAATAATGTTGACTGTTTCTTTTGAGGCACATTTCTTTTTCTTAGAGAGTAGAATTGACCCAATGCAACGTATTTCTCCACTTCAAAAAATCCTGCATATGCATTGCTTGATATCATCAGTCAAAATTCAGTTCTGCAATGACGACACCTTGCGGCGAATATACTCAACAATGAAATGACAGCCACCATCATCATCTATATATATATAACGGAGTGTAGGTCAAAAAGTAATGCAATGCGTTTTATTATATAAGGAACAAGGAACAAATTCAAACATATCGTACATATATATAGGTGTAGCTATACATCATAGGTTCACATCCCTACTTCTCCATCATCTCCTCGTTGAATAACAGTGTTCCTCATCTGAATGAGGGTAATTATCCCAGCTTCGCGAAACTCAGATGGCAGTGTTCCTCCTCCGAATGAGGGTATGCATCCCTTTTTCGTGAAACTCAGATGGCAGTGCCCCTCCTCCGAATGATGGTATGTATCTTAGTTTCGTAACACTCATATGGCAGTGTTCCTCCTCCGAATAAGGGCATGTATCCCAACTTCGCGAAACTCAGCAGTTTTCAATTTTTCATCACCACCTAACTTACCAGTCTCAGATTTCCATCTCTTTGGTTCAATAAAAGAGGCGCTGAGGGGTAAACGGTATGTGTACCTCTCATTGTTCTTTTACTTAACCTCACTTTTTTACTCAACCTCACACGCACACACACAAAAACATGTTGTGAAAACGTATTCCTAAAATAGAGTATTTTGAATGAAAAATGAAAAGAATTTTATTTTAATCTAAAACTTATATGTACGTTTGTCGAGCATTAATCTTGCTAGAAAAGGGGAAATATTAAAGAAACCAGGTCTAGTATTCACCGTGCGTGAGATAGATATTGAAAAGGAACGCTGATCTTGAAAAATTTCAGTTATCTGTTGAATTGAATATAGTCTAATGTTAATTATGTTTTATGAATATGTCCTGAGGATGGTCGACTAGACCGAAACGTCCGACGTTGACATTATACTAACATTAAAACAGCATAATTGCATATTAGGAGTTTTGTTTGTTTTTTCCGTATATTTTTCTTCATACTGTCGGAGCTATATCCATATATTTGCTTACACACATATATATATATGTGTGTGTGTGTGTGTGTGTGTGTGTTTGTGTGATAAATATATTGTTTTAAGATATGCTATATTTATGTTCACATCAAAAATAGAGCATATGTAAATATAAAAGTGAACACCGAAGTCAACAGCGAGTGGTGACAGTCTGTTCCATGTTTAACGCGCAAGAAACATAGTACACGCTTTCGACTTTTTTCAGGGTATGGAGAAACAAGTGAGTTTCGTAAAACTAATGATGTACGCAAGTGTTGTGACGTAGGCAAAGAGTGCTGTGACGTAGGAAAAGAGAGTTGTGACGTAGTCAAAGAGCGTTGTACACAACACTCTTTGCCTACGTCACAAGCTTCCACCATATTTCTTGTGCTTTTCTTGCGAAATGAACTTCAAACGATTTCTGACAGAATATTCTCCCTGCTATAATGTGGAAACGTCTGTCAGTAAAATTGACATAACATGGCTGTGGTTTTTAATAATATTTATCTTAAAGTAAAGGAACATTTGCGGTTTAAATACACACACACACAGACATATATATATATATATATATATATATATATATATTATGCGTATTTACACAATTGATATATGTATAATTCATAATAATATATGTATAAATATATTAAATTGCACATTTAAAAAACTGATCCGCGGTACAAAATTTCTGAAAAACTACTAATACATTACTCTAATAATTGGACAATTTTGTTCATGTCACGTTAAATGAAAAACACTTTCAACAACCAAAAATCGTGGATTTACCACATTACTATATTAAAAAAATATTCTCACTTGAAACATTTAAAATATAAGTCCAGCGTTACGACACTGCACATTCCAAAATTATGTAACCGTTAATAAGTAACAAACACTTAAAAAAACATCTTTCGGTCGGCAATACATTTATTGTCGTCTTAGAGTTACCTGAAATGGAAAAATATTTATACCTGATGATGAAAATGTGAGGATTCTCGAAAGCACTAGCAGCAGCGGAACATCAAATCCATCTTAGTGTTTTAAACATAAGGACCGTATTGTTCAACGAATGGTTAGTAAGTTAATGCCATATTAAAATTGTTAGCGAAGAGATTGCCTCTTTATAATATACTGCACTATTTATAACATACATATATACACACATATATATATATATATATATAGATAGATAGATAGATAGATAGATAGATAGATAGATAGATAATGAACAAACTGAGATAGATAGATAGATAGATAGATAGATAGATAGATAGATATGAGGATACAAAGTGGAAAATTTATAAACGACGTGTTTCACCCAGAGTTCCGGTTCTCTCTTGCTTCCTCAGGTTAGAATAAGAGGCAAAACTGTATGTTAACAAAGATGAGTTGGGATATCTGGACAGCATAAATCAAAATAAATTATTACATCCATTATCAAGACTCTTTAGATATATAAAATC